ATATTTTCAGAAGGAGGTCAGCAACGCCAAACTTATAACAGGTTTACTGTTAAAAAAAATAAGGACAATAGAAAAATTCCCAGGTGCCCAGAATTTTGAAGGTAAGCAAAGATAAAAGCAATAAAACAGAAACAATCAAAACATCTGCAAAAAAGTATGTACTGTATCTATTTGAACTACCAAGTCATGCATTTCCTACATTGGCTCAGAGGTGGTCCTGATAGCTAAACAGCAGTCAGTGGTACCTGACACCAATACAGCCTCATGCAGCTAATGTGCATGAAGAGGGGTAGGGACTCCAGGATGGATATGTAAAAGCAAACACAAAGAAGCACCGCAGCAGGCTTATAGTGCAGTAGTTTAAAACAACATTTAATACAAAGCTAATAAAAATAAACTTTTTGTAGTAAAGGACGGCAAAACTGCATGGACTAGGAATAGTCAAAGGTCTGAGTCTCCTTTAAAGATTTCCAAACAACCATCCTTGTTTGAACATACATGTCTGGCAGGAGAACCTCTACGATATTCACCTTCTCATTTATATGCTTCACTGATCGCTTTGCTTGCACCACAAGAGCTCCCATTCATACATCGTTGGGAAAGGGACCTAAACACAACTTTCTCTCAAAAACAGGACAGATTTCTGCTCTTTGCTCATAAGGCTTCATTGGCCAGTAGGTGTCTTGAGGGAGGATACAAACTTCTTACCAGATGGTACAAGATGCCGGAGGTGCTACATCATATGTTCCCCCAGGTCCCGAATGCTTGCTGGTAGTGCAAGAATTCTGTGGGGTCTCTACTTCATATCTTCTGGGAGTGCCCCAAGTAGCGAAGATTTCTGCACTATGGTGGAACAGATGGTAAAAAACACTAACGGAGTATCCCTTGGAGGAAATTCTGCAGCTTTTCTCCTACATGATACACCCCTTTCAAACAAACTCTACAAACATTCTTTATTGCAACATCTCCTCAACGCAGCAAAAGCCTGCATTCCGGTGTTATGGAAAAGTCACATGCCCCCTAACAAAACACACTGGCTTGCCCGAATCATTAAGATTCAAGAGATGAAAAATTGACTACGATGCTCAAGGAGCAAGAAGAAAAGTACTGGAAAATCTGGACCCCCTATTTCTTCTACAAAGACCAAACTGTGTGCTGACCTCCCAATCATGAGTTGAGGAGAGCAATCGCTCTGGTGGGACAGTGAGATTGATCTGGGCATAGGGCAGGAGGAGGATAGGTGGAATTTTCTTACTCCCCCCCTACCCATTCTATCTGTCTGTCTGCTTCTACTCCCATCCTTTCTTCTGCTAAGAACTTGCTCCAGGATTCAAAGTAAAACCATGTTGAGTACGCTCACCAGGATGCAGCTCCTAATTGTGACATCACAGAGATGCAGGCACGCCTGTGGAGGAAGACCTCCCATTCCTCAGCCTACCTAGGGGACTTTCTCAACTGCAACCAAATACATATTAACCCTGTGGGTTCCTGGAGAGACCTAATATCAAAATGTTAGCTTCCTATAGTGTAGTGCATACTTGTCGTGGGGCAGTCACTCAATAATTACTAACTGTTGGATTACCATGATGGGCTAATGGGCTAATATGCAGCAAATGATTGGTAAACCAATTATTCTTTTCTTTATAGATATGCCGCTTTTTTTAAAGTGTAACTCCATTCTTGTGGGAAAATAAATTAGGAAATAAAAAAAATAATATTATAGCGTATATACTAATGAAATTTGGTCATATTGTAATTGAATATTATTAAACATTACCTTTCCTTTTCAATCTGCAGTGCTGCAATTTTCTGTAAAATACAGTTCAATATGGAAACCTGCTGCTTTCTGTAAACAAATGGTGTATAGAATGCCCCCCAGACATATCATTTCCTGCTTGGGTGATTGGCTTACTGATTTTTCCCAGACGTCTGCACTAAGATACAAGTCAGATTTTTGGCACCCCCTGCAACAAAAATGGGAGAGATATTCCCAAAGGGGAATCCTAAAGCAATGCAGACCCTGTCACTTTCCTCATTAAAGCCCTGCAGGTGCATCAGCTGATTGATAATTATACAACTACTCCCATACAGAATCACTCTACACTTGGACACAGACAAACAAACCACTATTACTTCAGAATAACAAAAAGGTAGGAATCTGCAACAAACCTTATTACTCCTTTAAAAATATGCCATTATATTTTCCCTTTAATACTGAGAAAAGGGAACTTCACTCTCAATCAAAATTGACTATTTTTAATCCTTATGCTCCTGGTATTAGTAAATAGACAGGAAGGTGTATTGTATATACTAGTTTAAAGTGTTACTAAATCCACAACAGTAATATCATTCTGTATATGCAGTAAAGCATTATTGTTATACTCACCGTGGAACCTAAGGGGTTAATCCTCTGCATTGTGTAACAATACTGTTTGATCCTGACTTCTCTGATCCTCCCTTTCTTCCAGTGCTCCCCTCTTATCTCTTGATAAGACATATCTTGTGCAGTCACTCTGCACATGCTCAGTTTGCTGTGAGAGGTTTTTTCTTTTTCTTGGAAGAGTGCATGTGATCAGTACAGGGCCAATCAACAATGTCAGGGGTCCTGCATCCTCCTAGAGCAAAAAAAACCAAACTCCTCCTACAAGCTTTAACATGTGCTTGGCTGGACACTGATAGAAGTCACAAGACTGCTCTAACTGCTGATGAGAAAATGTATTTAACAGTTTATATTTACTAAGGTTTGGTAATACTTTAACTAGTAGTTTAACTTTAGTTTTAAGCTTTTTTAAAATGTCTTCATTTTCTTCATTTTCCAAATGGGGGGGGGGGGGGGGAACACAGTCCGCACCTCCTCCTAGCTCTCTCCTCCAACGATCTGGCTTGTCACTACCTACACTAAGCCGACAGGGGTAGTGATGCTGCTGTCACTACTCTTGTTAGCTTGTAGCATCAGGAACTCTCCTTGGTGCTCCCTCCCCACCTCACATGATACCAGCGCCAAGGGCAGCCGCCCCTTCTGCCCACCCCCTGTCCCGGCCCTGGTTATAGCATCATATTTGATCACTTTCAAAAATTGCTGGGTTTATTAAGAACTGCAGTCAGTGTACAAGTCACCAGGAAAATTTTAGGTGGACCTGACATAGATATATTTTTCATGTTAAACACATGCATACTACGTATTGCACAAGTGTTAGATATTTATCACCTCTGAGAACTCACAGCATTCCCACAATAATCCCAGCATCTGCTTTTCTGTCTAAAACGACAGCTTTATTTTGTTTCTATCATTATTTGGAGTCACAAACTTATTTTTGGACTAAGATGCTGGATCAGAGATGGCACAGTCATGTAATTTCTGGTGCCTATGCAATTTTTAGTAGTGTTCACAAATGTCTAATACAAATCTGCCCCTGCAGCAGCCTGTAACGTTGTGAATTGCTAAAAATTACAATGTTACAGTCTCTGGGGAGACTATGGAAATTCTTCCTCCTACCAGACTGATGACATTATTTCAGCCTAGGCAAAGTCACTGGAGCTGAGGGGCTGCTTTATAATAAAAAAGAGCTTTTTGAAAAATGATACAATTGCTGTATATTGTGCCATGTTAGGAATATGACATGGCTTGTAAAGTTACAAAAAAACCCTGGCTCAAGTTATAAATTGATTCAATATGTTTGTTGTTTTTCGTATACTGACTGAGGCCTCCAAACACTTCCTGCTTCTTAATTGCTATATAGGCGGATTGGCCTTCTAAAATCTTATGATCAGTCCTAGTTTTGTAGTTAGTGGAAAACTGATAGGTAAAGTGCTTAGCCAATTATTACAGCAATAAATTATATTTTGGGGTGGGGTAAGGGCTGTGGCCAAACAAGAATAATGGACGTTGGTGAGTGTAGTAATAAAGTTGGCATAAGAGTTGGAAGAAAATATTATAAGAAAAAAAACCTGAACTACCCCTATAAAATGAGAACTGGTCATGATACAGCTTATGCAAGAATCTGAATGTCAAAGTACATGTAAACCCTCACCTTGCAATCCATTCAGTTTAACCCCAACTTCCCGGCCCTTTAACCTCCCTAGCGGTATGATTATTTCAGATTTTTGGTGCTGAAAGCAGTACCATTATTTTGCATGGAAATAAGTATTTTTTTTTATTGTAGGCTGTATTTTTTAGGAATAACTCACTGAAATCTGTCCGAACAAGAGTCTATTAAACATCCCGGGTATGATAAAATTTGAAACACGAAATCATAAATTATAATTTAATAAATAATCATAAAAAATAATAATATAATAATAATACATTTAATTCAATAATATATTCCAGGGGTGGCGAACATGTTAGACACAAAGAGCCAAAATTTTAAACTGTGAAAGTCAGAGAGCCACACCACTCAGTGACCTGCCAAAACAGACAAACACTCACACAAAAACACATAATTAAAACCATATTATTCACCATAACACTTTCTTCCCCTTACAAAACAACAATGTGTTCATTTCAAGGTAAGTGTCCACCCTCAACACACACATCAAATACAACTTAGCCAGAGTTAACACATCAACTACCCTGGAGGTTGCTGTGGCACCAGTCTCTCTCTCTCTCCCTTCTCTCTCTCACTCTAACACACAAGTATACAAAAAAAAATTCTGAACTAATGGACTGCAGACACAGTACAGGAGATGACCAGAGACTGCGGACAGCACAGGGATGACCAGAGACTGCGGACAGCACAGGGATGACCAGAGACTGCGGACAGCACAGGGATGACAGAGACTGTGACAGCACAGGGATGACCAGAGACTGCGGACAGTACAGATGACTGCTGACCTTTGGGGAGGTGGGGAGCGGGTACCTGAATTTGACAGGTACCCGCTCTTCCGCAGAGTTTTTGTTTGATCTTACCTGTTCCTCGATCCAGCCGCGCGCTGTCTTCCCGGTTCTGTAATGGCGCTCGGCATGACAGCCGGGTGCCCAGTGCGCATGAGCGAGAAGCACTTGCGCTTTGTGATTGGTCCGGCGGCTTCTGGGATCTGTCATGTGTCCCAGGTACCGCCTTACCATTCACAAAAAGCACCGCTTCTTGCGCATGCGCACTTGGCACCCGGCTGTCATGCCCAGTGCCCACACTACAGAAGCCGGGAAGACAGCGCGCCGCTGGATAGAGGAACAGGTAAAAATAAGAGAAACATGAAACTTGACAAAGAGCCACAGTATACAAAATATGATAAGAGGCAAAGAGCAGCATTCATTTTGGCCGGGAGCCGCACGCGGCTCGAGAGCTGCGTGTTCGCCACCCCTGATATAATCAAACCGAAAACACTGAAATTTGAAATATAGCGCCAAGTTCGCACATCGCTGAGCAAAGTCGCAAAATCGTTTTCAGTGTCTGATGACGAATTTCCCCCACGAATCATTATCACTCAATTCTGCAAGTGGTTCTAATTTACTATCGCTATTCTCTAGATGATCTAAACTGCTTTTGACCTAAAGGGACACTTTTTGGACGCCATGAACATTTCTCAGTTTCCAGGCAGAAAGAACAGACAAAATGCAGGCAGGGCACAGGACAAAGCACTAGGGACAATATGTATGTGAAATGGGTTGAAACAGCAATGTTTTACTATGAAAAATGTGTATTTAAAAAAATGACATTTTTTAAAATTTTTAAATTTCCCGCCTCCGGCAGCGGCGCCCGTACGTCCTGACGTCACAGGGACCGGAACACAGAAGCCGGATGCCGGCATCGGCCGGAGGAGAGGAGATGCTGCAGGGGACACATCGCGGGAGCAAAGGACAAGGTAAGTGCTGCAGGGACTCCCTATGCAGCGCCGCATGGTAAGCCCGAGTGTAACTCGGCATTACCGCTTTTGGCACTGACATTTTACCCCGAGCTACACTCGGGAATACCGCTAGGGAGGTTAAGGGATTTTAGATGATGGGCAGGGTTTCTGATCATGTGATTGCTGTGATTGGCTGTCACAGAAATCACCTGATTGGAAAGCCGATTTCCGTTAGCTGCTGGTAACTGTGCCAGGAGCACATATGGCGCATACTCTAGGCACAGGACTGTTTACCTTTAGGTACGCATATATGCGGCCTCTCGTCGGTAATGACCACCCACAGAGAGGATGAATTTATGCGTGTGGCCGGCGCCAAAGAGTTAAAAGAGAAATGAAAGGCAAAATATTTCTGTATACATATAAAAAAACATTATAAATACATTTTTTTCCCTTTTTTATAAGTGATCACATACCCTCTGTTCTCAGCTGCATAAGGAGCTTAGAGACCTGGGGCAAGGGAAGCAGCAGCACACAGTAAATCACTGTGTAGGGGTAAGTGGGTGGGTGTCAGGATGAGTTTGATGATTGGAAGAGAACAGACTGAATTCCCAACACAGCCAGCAAACTGACCACGCTGTACTCTCATGCCTAGTTTGGTCAGTTTTAGATAGGAGAGCAGAGTGACTGGCAGGAACACCAGGGATTTCACACAAAGGAAGCAATACAAAGAGAACAGGATACTTTTTCCTACAAGTACATGGTACAGCAGGCACATATCAGGAATGTTGTGTTTACATACTGTTTAAAGAGATCCTGTTGCCAGAAAATTGTGTATTTTGTATTCAAGAAAAGTTCTTTATCTGAACAATCCATTGCTCCCTATAGGCAATAATTTGTATTGTATTGGTATATTGAACAGTTAGAGGCAGGGGAAAAAGTTTGAAAACTCCGACACTTCCTGGTGTGTCAATTCCTCTCTTTTAGCCCTCTGCCTCTCTGAAAATGTTTACTATCTCACATATAATTGACAGCTGAGGCTGTGTGCAGGAGAACTGCTCCCTAAACAAAGAGTGCTTCTACTGTGATGTAGAGCTGATCTCCTGCACACAGCCTCAGGGCATGTAAAATAAAAGCTGGGTATATTGTAGTAAAATTTTGTTCAATATTTCAGCACTTGTTCAACATTTATCATTGTAAAGCAGGCCATGGGTTGCAAGAAAAAAAATTGCTCAATTCCAAAAATTTGCTTGATTGCTCGAAAATTGCTCAGTCAGTGTTGTTGGGGTAATCCCTCCCTCGGAACTATTGTGTTCTCCTGGCGGGGAGATGCGGGGAGCCGTCCCTGCCAGGAAAACACAGTGATTATCATTAGCGGCTAAAGCTGCTGGCAAAAAAAACACGTGTAAAAATCTGACAGGCTGTTTTTTTCAAGTCATACAACAATATAATTGGGTACAATTAGCGTGCCCATAGACGGTGTGAATCTCGGTTGGTCCCAGCTGAACTGGCTGAGATTTGAACCATCTATGGGCGGCTAGTCCAAATTACTTTTTTGTGCTTTAACCAGTTAAACTCTGCCCTATAGCAGTTTTACTGCGACAGGGTGGACTCCCTGAGCAAAATCACATAATATATACGTGATCTGTGCTCCTGCCGTGGTCACGGGCAGGTTGTGTGCGGATGTGCGCCCGCCGGCCTGGTGGTGCTGTGATTTGGTACAGCACTGATCACTGATGTTTGGCCTGGATCAGCTGATTGGCTGTACCAAACCAGATCTCAGCCTGTGCCTGTGTTTACATTGCACAGGCACAAGAAATCTTCTCTCCCTGGAGCACAGTCCATTCCAGGGAGAGAAGAAAGCAGATAGTCACCAGTGTCATTAGTACAGTGTACAGATTTTATTACTGATCATTGTATTAGTGTATCAGGTGACTTCAGATAGCGTTAGAGTCAGTTAGTGTTAGATGGCCCGCCACTACATCAGTCATCACATTTAACCCTTTGATTGCCAGGAACATGCTCACATACACAATAAACCTCCATTGCTAGTGTAGTGTCAGAATGGATCAATATCTTCGATGAGATCAGCACTATACCAGCGTTCACAATAGTACAGTGGCCTACAGGATTCTGAGAATGTCAGATGAGAGCAAAGGGAGGCCTCACTGACAGAATCTGCCTCAGAATACGAACCTGTAGACAGCAGTGGCACCCTGACAGATAGCTCAGATGATGGAGACGAGGTCCCTGCTAAGGTCAGGCGTACCCAACCCCATTCCAAGGTTGCTGAGATGGTACAATTGCATGATGATTCTCATATGCAGCAGAGTGCCAGTACTAGTGCTGCTCTACCTTTTGGTGAACTGGCGAGCACCAGCGGCCTAATACATCCTGGTCTTTCACATACCAGCACTGCAGTATCACTTGGTGATGTGGCGATTCCCATAAGTGCAGTACAATCTGGTGTAGTGGCAAGCATAAATAGTGTCCCGCAGCAACCAAGAATTCGCACACAGGCCCGTAGAGCCCCTAGTGTCCTTACGGACGTGCTTGCAAATCCTGATTGGCTTCCCACAAATTTTGTAGCACCCATACTTCCCCCATTCACTGCTCAACCCGGAAATCTGGTGCAAATAGCAAATTGAACTACTCCCCTTGATTTTTTTGGAGCTGTTTTTCACGGAAGACCTGTATGCATTGATTGTGGATCAAAACCAATTTATACACACAACAATATATTGCCGCCAACCCAAATTCAAACCTTGCCAGACCATTTGCATGAAAACTTATTACGGTTTCCGAATTTAACTTTTTTTGGGCCTAACCCTCAACATGGGCATTACTAAAAAAAATTAATTGCGGTTGTATTGGTCCACAGACCCGATTCATCATGTGCCCGTGTTCTCTGCTGCCACGGCCAGGCATAGATATGAGAATATAATGCGATGTATGCATTTCAATGACAATACATATGAATACCTGAATCTGACCGGCTCCACAAAATTCAGAACCTCGTAAATTACCTTAACCTTAAATTTACAGATGTCTATACTCCCCAGCAAAACATCTTCATTGATGAGTCCCTCATTAATTTTTCTGACTGCCTTGCATTCAAACAGTTTCTCTCCAGCAAGCGTGCCAGATATGGGGTCAAAATTTATAAGACCTGTGAGAGGGCAACAGGCTATACATATAATTTTCGTATTTATGAGGGTGAGATAGTTTGGGACTTGGTGTAACCCTTTTTCCATATGGGATATCACTTATACGTGGACAATTTTTATACAAGAATGCCACTATTTAGACATTTGTGCAATCTTGTAAATACCCGTTTTAGAAAGAGTGAGAAAGCCTGCTTGAAAAATTATGAATTGCTCGCAGTGAATTGGAAGGACAAATGGGATGTTTTTTGTCCTCTGTCCCAGAGGTGATCAAATACCACCAAAAGAAAGCTCTATTTGTGTGAAAAAGGGACACAAATTTCATTTGGGTACAGCATTGCATGACCATGCAATTATTAGTTGAAATAGCAGAGCTCCGAATAGCAAAAAATGGCCCTGTCAGGAAGGGGGGGGGGTAAATATTCTGGAGGGCAAGTGGTCAAATACTATAATAATAATTTTGAAAGACCCTAATAGAGATGAGCGAATCGAACATGACGAAGTGGAATTCGTTTCGAAGATTAGGAAAAAATTCGATTCGCGCTGAATCCGAAAATTGGCAAAATACATTTCTGTATTAGGGACACGAGTTTAGGGGCCACAGAGACTTTATGGGCCCCCGAATCGTTACTCAGGGACACAGAATCGTTACTCAGGATACACAGAATGTTACCAGGGACACAGAATTATTACTCATGGACACAGAATTGTTACTCAGGGGACACAAATCGTACTCCCCCCGTTTCAGGCACAGATCGCAGTAACATTGGATACTCAGGGACACAGGATCACGGTACTCAGGCAAACCAGATTCGTTACTCAGTACAGGGAACCGTTACTCCAGGGCCACAGGTATCCGTTACATCAGGGACGACGAGAATCGCAGTACTCCGGACAGAGGAATTGTTACCAGTGACACGTGAAATCCGGTACTCACAGACAAACAGACACAGTTTACTAGGGGAATCCAGCACAGGATCCGGTATCAGCACAGAACACAGGTACAGGGATATCCAAGCACAGGAATCCGCGTATCTCCAAGCACAGATCGCAGTACATGGGAATCCAGCCCAGAATCCATCGTAACAGGCACAGACCTCGCAGGTACAGGGACACAGAAAACGTTTTCTGGGGGGACACAGAAAATTTTTTACTCAGGGACACAGAATCGTTAAATCAAAGGGGCACAGAATTGTTACTCAGGGAAAACAGAATTTTTACTCCGGGAAAACCCGAATCGTTTTCTCCCCGGGGCAGACACAGAATTGTTAAATCAGGGACCCCAGAATTGTTTTCTCAGGGGGCACAAATCGTTA